ATTTTTAATTTTTATTTTAACAATAACTTTTTTTTAGTATTCAAGATATTGGAACTTGAGTCGCCCAAACATATAACAATGGACTGGATTTTAGTAGCGCCGCGCAGCACGCTACAATTGAAGGCCAATTTGGATGACGTGCTATACAAACTGGACAGCGATAACACTGGCATAGTTAAGGTGTCTGCCGACGGTGTTGTGCGCACACAGGATACGCTCGGACGCGATTTGATTATTGTAAGCCTTTTCAGTCCGTTGATTCTTATGTATTATGGGAATATTAACTTCAATTAACTCCACTATAGGCCAAAACTTTCGAACAAACCCTGCCAATCGGCGTTGAAGTGAAGAATATACAATATATTCTGGCCACCCTGGCCTACCCCACATCGCGCTTGAAGCAAAGCGAGGCAAAGATACCACGTGGCATGAATTTCGTATTGAAAATTTCGCTACACGACAATTTGGGCAATGAATTCTCGCACAATATTGATGACGTAAATGGCTTGAAGTATGACTTGTCGCGCAAGGATATTGTGGACGTACAAATCGGCAGTAATCTCACAATTGCGGTGAGTTGAGTTGCAAAATCGTTAAGTTGTTATATGGCAATTTGCTTTAATAATAGCTATAGCAATTYTTATTTATATAATAAGAGTATTGCTGCACTTTTCCACACACTTCGGCGTGACTTCGAAATTGCACACAATATGGCGTACAAAGTTAGTCGTTTCCTAGTCTTCTGTGCAATATGGTTGCATGTCAACGCATATTTAATTTTTTTTATAAATTTTTTTTTTAATTTTTTGCTACGCTATTTTCCACTGGCCACAATGATGGACGTTTCTGTGACGCTGGTGTTAAGCGCGCACAACTGAACTGCCATAAGCTCGAAGCCGCCCACTGCATATGCGATTTGATGCGCTCCTAAATGACTTAGGAGAGAATGTAGTAGAYTGGCAAGGCGGTGCCGCATACCTATATGAATTTAAATGGCAAATTCTGCAACGYCAAATCCTAGCTTTGAAGTTTGTAGAGTGCTCTTTTAGCTATTAAATGTGCAGTGATTTGTATGTATGCACAAATTTTTATGTATATTATACTCGTTTTCAGAATAGTGTGTGTTTAAATGTTCTTAAAGCCAACTGGAAGCTATGAATGTGCAAACCCTGTGAGCAATGCGAATGTCTGCTTTTGACATGTACATATGTAAAGAAATTTTTAATAAAATATATAGCATTTTTAAATTTACCCTTACTCAAAGAAATAATATAAATTCCATTTTTATATATTTCAAAAATAAGACTAGTTTGCAGTCCTTTTACTCTAAGATTCCCTAAGGTCCCTCAGACGACCGCAATTATTGTCAAAGTACAGAGCCGCAAAAACATCCTCAAGTCGCTAGCCAGCAGCGCATGGGAAAAGACAAAGAAACGCTGTTGGCAACATATAAGACAATCGGCTGGCCGGATCATAACTATACCGTACCAAGTCGCCTATATGCACTGAAACGCAGAGCATGAAGCTTCAGACATACCAGAATATTGCACGGTATGCCTCTTGATGTCTTTTATCGAACATCTATACAGTGAGGTGTGTATGCTCCCAGTTAAGGAGCTTACTGAACTCCTTTCCAAGCAGTTCTGCTTCGGTATTTTCGTGGAAACCATCCCTGCAGTCAACTGCTTGAAGCGGAATTGCCATCAAGAGGTCTTTCCTCAACTACGCCGACCAGACGTCGGATTCAACTAGCGCTGCAGATAGTGGAGTCATAAACACCTTGACCGACTCCCTCTCAGTGAACCACGTACTTGGAGTCAAACCGTCACCCATTGCAGACGACGAATCACACCTAAAGTAGCCCACAGATCTCTAAGCACATTTGTAGCAAATTTCTCCTTTAGATTTGTTGAGTAGTGTAATTAAATTTTTCTCAACTAAAATTTTCTTACCGGGTAATTGTATAATTTCTTAAATCGCTCGCTCTCAGTTATATAGAAAGTAATAAATATTCCATTTCCATAAATTACGGTATAGTCAATTTAATAACTTAAATTTTCCTACTGGACATATGTTTGTATTCCTAAATAGTTCACGCAAATTTCATGGAATAAAACTTTTTTGGAACTTAATTTTTCCTACAGGGTACATGGTTAGCCTTTTAAACAACTCACGTTTAGTTGTAGAAAAAAATAAWTAAGCCGCCATTTGCTTAAATTTCGTTAAAAAAAAATTTCCTACAGGGTATATTTATAATTTTTAAATCTCCTTGAGTTATACAGCATTAAAATGAACCCTCAAATTTCGTAAGTTTGATGCAATACAATCAAATTCTGCAATCAAAATGTTCCTACTGGGTATATGTGTAGCCAAGAGGATATTTGCTCTATATGACAACGGCATCAAGTTAAACTGTAAATAAAAATGCACAACGTTTTGTCCTCTTGCGGAAATATTTGCAAAGTTTGAAGCCGTATAAGCAAAGCGTGGAATGCTTCAGCRTTTTCTATACATACATGCAAGCCGCTTTTGGCTGAGTGTGACCGGGCTTGTTCTCATTTGCTGTGCAGTGTCCCAGYATAGTTCGCAGTCTGCATTTCTATAGCTTTAACGTTGTTTATTTTCCGCTCAATTCCTTTTTTTCTGAAGCTTCCTCAGTCAGCCATGCAGCCACATGAGCGTGCAGAGAGCGTGTGCATGGCAGCATGGCCAAGTATTTACATATATTTTCTCGATTTTATTTTGCTCACATTTTTTATTTTTTTTTACTAAAACTTTCCAACGCATTTTCCATATTTTTATGCAGAATTTTTATTTTTTAGTTTTCGGTTTAAACTTTATGCACTTTTCGTATGACTTCCACACATACATACTATGTATGTGAATATACAACCATGTTTACATGTACATATGTATGTTTGTGTATGGTATGACTTTTGTTATATAATTTTATTTGTTATTTATGTTGCTCTTACTGCTTACGTAGATAAATCTGCCGCGTGAAACAAACAACATGATTGCCATCAGCTTAAGGGATACGACTGGAGTTAAACATGCTGAGGATTACATCAAGCTGTCAGTGGCAGAATCGAAGAACACGTTTCCAACTAAGGTGAGTGCAGWTGCCTTAAGAGTTTTGTGTGCAGTTTTTCTTTTTGCACGCTTTTAGTGTTAACTTTGTGTGTATAGGTTAGGGTTATGCAATTGCAGTGCATTTTTCATAAATTTTTGAGATTTAACAAGAATGTAGCGTTAAGTGGTACTAAGTGGACTGATTTAAGGTTCAACTTGTGCAGAAATTTTAAGTCCTGACGGATTTAGTCCTCTCGTTTGCTGTCGAACGGAGCGAAGTTGAAAAACGAAATCGGAATCATATTAGACCGAAGAGCCAAACAACTAAAAGCCTAACTTGTGTAGAAGTTATAAGATTTGACGGAGTTTGTCCGCTCTGTTGCTGCTTGGCCAGATCGTTCTTATGTCCATCCTGAATAGAAGGGCATCCACCGGAATCGCGGTCTACTAAACCAAAAAGAGGTCGGAATCATATTA